TCCCGGCCCCGTTCCCGGCCCCGTTCCCGGCCCCATTCCCGGCCCCATTCCCAGGCCCCGTTCCCGGCCCCGTTCCCAGCCCCGTTCCCGGCCCCGTTCCCGGCCCCGTTCCCGCCGTTCCGTACCCAGGTGCACCGTCCCTCCACGAAGTACTTGCAGATGACCTTCCCCTTCTTGTCCTGGGGCAGGTGGGACTTGTCGTGGTCGCTCCGTCGGTAATTCCCGCAATTCCCGCCCTCCTGGAGCGGGACGATCCCGAGGGGATCCCCGTCAGCGTTCCAGGGGAAAGCCCGGAACGGAACGGGGCAGGGAAAAGGGGGAAAACCCGCCACGTTCCCGGGATTTGGGGGGGGACAGGGAGGGGGTCGGGGAGGGCTCAGCTCGGGATTCCAAGGGTTGGAAAGGAAAAGAGGGAAAGAGGAACGTGGGGAGGCCGAAATCCCGGGATTTGGAGGGGAAAATCCCAATCCTGGCGGGAAAAGGGGATCCCGGGAGGGTTTTCCTGCTGCCCAGGGCAGGATTCCCGGGAATTCTGTCAGGAAAAGGGGGGGGGGAAATCCGGATCCTGACAGGAAAAGGGGATCCCGGGAGGGTTTTCCCGCTGCCCAGGGCGGGATTTCTGGGAATTCTGTGGGGAAAAGGGGAGGGAAAATCCCGATCCCAGTGGGAAAAGGGGATCCCGGGAGGGTTTTCCTGCTGCCCAGGGCAGGATTCCCAGGAATTCTGTCGGGAAAAGGGGAAGGAAAATCCCGATCCCGGTGGGAAAAGGGGATCCTGGGAAGGTTTTCCCGTTGCCCAGGGCAGGATTCCCGGGAATTCCGTGGGGAAAAGGGGAGGGAAAATCCCGATCCCGGTGGGAAAAGGGGATCCTGGGAGGGTTTTCCCGCTGCCCAGGGCAGGATTCCCGGGAATTCCGTGGGGAAAAGGGGAGGGAAAATCCCGATCCCATTGGGAAAAGGGGACCCCGGGAGGGTTTTCCCGCTGCCCAGGACAGGATTCCCGGGAATTCCGTGGGGAAAAGGGGAGAGAAAATCCGGATCCCGGTGGGAAAAGGGGACCCCGGGAGGGTTTTCCCGCTGCCCAGGGCAGGATTCCCGGGAATTCCGTGGGGAAAAGGGGAGGGAAAATCCCGATCCCATTGGGAAAAGGGGATCCTGGGAAGGTTTTCCCGCTGCCCAGGGCGGGATTCCCGGGAATTCCGCGGGGACCCCGTGGGCTCAGCCCTCACCGCCATGTCGTCGTCGTAGAAGTCGTCGTCGTCGTTGATCCCGGCTTTCCCGACCCCGCTCCGGCCTCTCCCGCGGCCCCTTCCCGGCCCTTTGGGGCCCCGCCCCCGGGGGCCCCGCCCGCGGCCACGGGGCAGCCCTGCCAAAAACTGGGGTCACTGGGGGGAACTGGGGGGCACTGGGAGGGACTGGGGGGCACTGGGAAGGACTGGGATCACACTGGGAGGGACTGGGGGGCACTGGGATCACACTGGGAGCCACTGGGAGGGACTGGGATCACACTGGGAGCCACTGGGATCACACTGGGAGCCACTGGGAGGGACTGGGATCACACTGGGAGGGACTGGGATCACACTGGGAGCCACTGAGAGGGACTGGGAGGGACTGGGAGGGACTGGGATCACACTGGGAGCCACTGAGAGGGACTGGGATCACACTGGGAGGGACTGGGATCAGACTGGAGGGGACTGAGATTGGACTGGGAGGGACTGGGATCGGACTGGGAGGGACTGGGATCAGACTGGGAGAGACTGGCCGGGACTGAAATTGGACTGGGAGGGACTGGGATTGGACTGGGATCGCCCTGCCACAAACTGGGAGTCACTGGGAGGCACTGGGGGGCACTGGGGGGGACTGGGAGGGACTGGGATCACACTGGGAGTGACTGGGATCACACTGAGGGTGACTGGGACCATACTGGGGTAACTGGTGTGTACTGGGAGTGACTGGGATCACCCTGGGGGTGACTGGGACCATACTGGGGTAACTGGTGTGTACTGGGAGTGACTGGGATCACACTGAGGGTGACTGGGACCATACTGGGGTAACTGGTGTGTACTGGGAGTGACTGGGATCACACTGGGCGTGACTGGGACCACACTGGGGTGACTGGTGTGTACTGGGAGTGACTGGGAGCACATTGAGGGTGACTGGGACCACACTGGGGTGACTGGTGTGTACTGGGAGTGACTGGGATCACCCTGGGGGTGACTGGGACCATACTGGGGTAACTGGTGTGTACTGGGAGTGACTGGGATCACACTGAGGGTGACTGGGACCATACTGGGGTAACTGGTGTGTACTGGGAGTGACTGGGATCACACTGGGCGTGACTGGGACCACACTGGGGTGACTGGTGTGTACTGGGAGTGACTGGGAGCACATTGAGGGTGACTGGGACCACACTGGGGTGACTGGTGTGTACTGGGAGTGACTGGGATCACCCTGGGGGTGACTGGGACCATACTGGGGGTAACTGGTGTGTACTGGGAGTGACGGGGACCACACTGGGGGTAACTGGTGTGTACTCTTGTACTGGGAGTGACTGGGATTCACCCTGGGGGGACTGGGACCATACTGGGGTAACTGGTGTGGATTGTGGCAGGCCCTGCTGTGCTCACCCCGCCCCCGCTCTTTGCTCCGCCGTTACTGTGACAATTCCTTGGAATAATCGTCGTAGTCGTCGTCGCCCGGAGCCTCCTCGGGGTCACAGTACTGGGAAAACTGGGAATGCTCAGGGAAATTGGGCCCTTGTCCCAAGGGAGCGGCCCCGCCCTCCCCAAGGGAGTGTCCCTGCCCAATCCTGCCCTTCCCCTCCTGCCCTTCCCAAGCGACCATTCCCCCTTTCCAAGGGTGGTCCCTGCCCCATAATCCCCCCGTTCCCAAGGATTGTCCCAGCCCTTCAAGCCCTCCCAGATTGTCCCTTCCCACTCCTGCCCTTCCCAAGATACCATTCCCACCCTTCCCAAGGGATTGTCCCCGGCCCTTCCCAAGGGATTGTCCCTGCCCATTCCTGCCCTTCCCAAGAGACCATTCCCACCTTTCCCAAGGGATTGTCCCTGCCCATTCCCACTTTTCCCAAGGGATTGTCCCTGCCCATTCCCACCCTTCCCAAGGGATTGTCCCTGCCCATTCCCACCCTTCCCAAGGGATTGTCCCCACCCATTCCTGCCCTTCCCAAGGGATTGTCCCTGCCCGTTCCTGCCCTTCCCAAGGGATTGTCCCTGCCCACTCCTGCCCTTCCCAAGGGACCATTCCCACCTTTCCCAAGGGATTGTCCCTGCCCACTCCTGCCCTTCCCAAGAGACCATTCCCGCCCTTCCCAAGGGATTGTCCCTGCCCGTTCCTGCCCTTCCCAAGGGATTGTCCCTGCCCATTCCCACCCTTCCCAAGGGATTGTCCCTGCCCATTCCTGCCCTTCCCAAGAGACCATTCCCACCTTTCCCAAGGGATTGTCCCTGCCCATTCCCACCTTTCCCAAGGGATTGTCCCTGCCCATTCCCACCTTTCCCAAGGGATTGTCCCTGCCCATTCCTGCCCTTCCCAAGGGATTGTCCCTGCCCATTCCCACCCTTCCCAAGGGATTGTCCCTGCCCACTCCTGCCCTTCCCAAGGGACCATTCCCACCCTTCCCAAGGGATTGTCCCTGCCCATTCCACCCTTCCCAAGGGATTGTCCCTGCCCATTCCCACCCTTCCCAAGGGATTGTCCCCACCCATTCCTGCCCTTCCCAAGGGATTGTCCCTGCCCATTCCCACCCTTCCCAAGGGATTGTCCCTGCCCGTTCCTGCCCTTCCCAAGGGATTGTCCCTGCCCACTCCTGCCCTTCCCAAGGGATTGTCCCTGCCCATTCCCACCCTTCCCAAGGGATTGTCCCCACCCATTCCTGCCCTTCCCAAGGGATTGTCCCTGCCCGTTCCAGCCCTTCCCAAGGGGTCATTCCCTGCCCATCCCAACCTTTCCCAAGGGATCGTTCCCTCCCCCAGGGGCTGATGGGATGGGGTTGGAAACCTGGGATGGGATCAAAACCCTGGGATGGGATGAGAACCCCGGGATGGGATCAGGACCCTGGGATGGGATCGGGATCCTGGGATGAGATCAAAACCCTGGGATGGGATCAAAACCCTGGGATGGGATCAGGACCTTGGGATGGGATCAGGACCTTGGGATGGGATCAAAACCCTGGGATGGGATCAGGACCCTGGGATGGGATCAGGACCCTGGGATGGGATCAAACCCCTGGGATCAGGTTGGAATCCCAGGATGGGATCAGGACCCTGGGATGGGATCAGGACCCTGGGATGGGATCAAAACCCTGGGATGGGATCAGGAGCCCGGGATGGGCTCAGGACCCCAGGATGGGCTCAGGAGCCCGGGATGGGGTCGGAATGCCGGGATGGGGTGGGAATTCCATGGGAACCCCGGGCTCACCTCCATGTCGTCGTCGTATCCGTCGTCGTCGTCGTCCGGGATGTCCCCTCGGGAGCGGCCGCGGCCCCTCAGCCCGGCCCGGCCACGCAGACCCCCCCGGGACCCCCGGCCACGGAAACCACGGCCTCGGCCTCGGCCCCCTGTGGGAACAACCCCAAATCCATGGGAATGGGAATGGGATAAACAACAGCCACGGAAACCACGGCCTCGGCCTCGGCCTCCTGTGGGAACAACCCCAAATCCATGGGAATGGGAATGGGAATGGAGCAAACAACACCGCGGAAACCACGGCCACGGCCTCCTGTGGGAAAAATCCCATGGGAATGGGATAAACAACACCCCGGGAATGGGATAAACAACAATCCCGGGACCCCCGGCCACGGAAACCACGGCCTCGGCCTCCTGTGGGAACAATCCCATGGGAATGGGATAAACAACACCCCGGGACCCCCGGCCATGGAAACCACGGCCTCGGCCTCCTGTGGGAATAACCCCAAATCCATGGGAATGGGATAAACAACACCCCGGGAATGGGATAAACAACACCCCGGGACCCCCGGCCACGGAAACCACGGCCTCGGCCTCCTGTGGGAGGGTTTTTGGTGTGGTTTTGGGGTGTTTTTGGGGTTATTTCCACACCTCTGCCCCGGTGAGCCCCGTCCTTGGAGCGCCAGGACCGGGTTGGTTTGGGGTGGTTTTGGGGTGTTTCTGGGGTGTTTTCGGGGTGGTTCTGGGGTGTTTCTGGAGTGTTTTGGGGTGGTTTTTGGGGTGTTTTTGTGTTTTTTCCATACCTCTGCCCCGGTGAGCCCCGTCCTTGGCCCTCCTGTACTGGGTTTGTTTGGGGTGGTTCTGGGGTGTTTTTGGGGTATTTTTGGGGTGTTTTTGGGGTTATCTCCATACCTCTGCCCCTGTGTGCCCCGTCCTTGGCCCTCCTGTACTGGGTTTGTTTGGGGTGGTTCTGGGGTGTTTTTGGGGTGTTTCTGGGGTGTTTTTGGGGTGTTTTTGGGGTGGTTTTGGGGTGTTTTTGGGGTGGTTTTGGGGTGGTTTTTGGGGTGTTTCTGTGTTTTTTCCATACCTCTGCCCCTGTGTGCCCCGTCCTTGGCCCTCCTGTACTGGGTTTGTTTGGGGTGGTTCTGGGGTGTTTCTGGGGTGTTTCTGGGGTGGTTTTTGGGCTGTTTCTGTGTTTTTTCCATACCTCTGCCCCTGTGAGCCCCGTCCTTGGCCCTCCTGTACTGGGTTTGTTTGGGGTGTTTTTGGGGTGGTTCTGGGGTGTTTCTGGGGTGTTTCTGGGGTGTTTCTGGGGTGTTTCTGGGGTGGTTTTGGGGTGTTTCTGTGTTATCTCCATACCTCTGCCCCGTTAGGCCCCGTCATTGGCCCCCTCCATGTACGGGTTGTTTGGGGCTGTTTCTGGGTTGGTTTTGGGGTTTGTTTCTGGGGTGGTTTTGGGGTGGGTTTGGGATCTCCACACCTCTGCCCCTGGTGCCCAGCCTTGGACCTCCTGTTACTGGTTTGTTTTGGTGGCGTGGTCGGGGTGTTTCTGGGGTGGGTTTTTGGGGTTGGTTTTGGGGTGTTTTTGGGCTGTTTTGGGGTGATTTTGGCGGTTATCTCCATACCTCTGCCCTGTGGCCCGTCTTGGCCCCTCCTTACTGGGTTTGTTTTGGGGTGGTTCTGGGTGGTTTTGGGGTGTTTTGGGGGTGGTCTCTTGGTGTTGTCTTTGGGGTTATTCTCCATACCTTGCCCCTGTGGCCCCCGTCATTGGCCTCTGTACTGGGCTTTGTTTGGGTTGCGTCTGGGGTGGTTCTGGGGGTTTTTTGGGTGGTTTTGGCCGGTTTATGTTTTTGGGGTTATCTCCATACCTCTGCCCCGGTGTGCCCCGTCCTTGGCCCTCCTGTGCTGGGTTTGTTTGGGGTGGTTCTGGGGTGTTTCTGGGGTGGTTCTGGGGTGTTTCTGGGGTGTTTTTGGGGTGGTTTTGGGGTGTTTCTGGGGTTATCTCCATACCTCTGCCCCTGTGTGCCCCGTCCTTGGCCCTCCTGTACTGGGTTTGTTTGGGGTGGTTCTGGGGTGGTTTTGGGGTGTTTTTGGGGTGGTTCTGGGGTGTTTTTGGGGTTATCTCCATACCTCTGCCCCTGTGTGCCCCGTCCTTGGCCCTCCTGTACTGGGTTTGTTTGGGGTGGTTCTGGGGTGGTTCTGGGGTGGTTCTGGGGTGTTTCTGGGGTGTTTTTGGGGTGGTTTTGGGGTGTTTTTGGGGTTATCTCCATACCTCTGCCCTTGTGTGCCCCGTCCTTGGCCCTCCTGTACTGGGTTTGTTTGGGGTGTTTTTGGGGTGTTTTTGGGGTGTTTTTGGGGTGTTTCTGTGTTATCTCCATACCTCTGCCCCGGTGAGCCCCGTCCTTGGCCCCCTGGTACTGGGTTTGTTTGGGGTGGTTCTGGGGTGGTTCTGGGGTGTTTTTGGGGTGTTTTGGGGTGTTTCTGGGGTGGTTTTGGGGTGTTTTTGGGGTTATCTCCATACCTCTGCCCCGGTGAGCCCCGTCCTTGGCCCTCCTGTACTGGGTTTGTTTGGGGTGGTTCTGGGGTGGTTTTGGGGTGTTTTTGGGGTTATCTCCATACCTCTGCCCCGGTGTGCCCCGTCCTTGGCCCTCCTGTACTGGGTTTGTTTGGGGTGGTTCTGGGGTGTTTTGGGGTGTTTTTGGGGTATTTTTGGGGTGTTTTTGTGTTTTTTCCATACCTCTGCCCCTGTGTGCCCCGTCCTTGGCCCTCCTGTACTGGGTTTGTTCGGGGTGGTTCTGGGGTGGTTCTGGGGTGTTTCTGGGGTGTTTTTGGGGTGTTTTTGGGGTATTTTTGGGGTGTTTCTGTGTTATTTCCATACCTCTGCCCCTGTGTGCCCCGTCCTTGGCCCTCCTGTACTGCCCCAGCTCCTTGGCGAAGTCGTCGTAGTCGTCCTTGGGGGGCTCCTCGTCCTCCTCCCCCTCGTAGGGCCCCAGATCCTCCCCCTCGAAGTCCTCGTAGGAGCCGTAGGAGGAGCCCTTGGGATCCTTGGGATAGCCCTTCTTGGGGCCCTGCGAGTGGCACTGGGGATACTGGTGGGACTGGGCGGGGGAAGCACCGCGAGAAAGCCTTGGAATCTGGGAGTCCTGCTCTTCCCAGCATTCCCAGGGACTCCCAAGCACCCACGGAGTAAGGAAGGGTCTATTCCCAACATTCCCAAGCACCCACAGAATAAGGAAGGGTCTATTCCCAACATTCCCAAACACCCACAGAATAAGGAAGGGTCTATTCCCAACATTCCCAAGCACCCACAGAATAAGGAAGGGTCTATTCCCAACATTCCCAAGCACCCATGGAGTAAGGAAGGGTCTATTCCCAACATTCCCAAGCACCCATGGAGTAAGGAAGGGTCTATTCCTGGAATTCCCAGCTATTCCCAGATACTTTTGGAGTAAGGAAGGGTCTATTCCCAACATTCCCAAGCACCCACAGAATAAGGAAGGGTCTATTCCCAACATTCCCAAACGCTCATGGAGTAAGGAAGGGTCTATTCCTAGAATTCCCAGGTATTCCCAGGTATTCCCAGATTCTTTTGGAGTAAGGAAGGGTCTATTCCCATATTCCCAAACACTCATGGAGTAAGGAAGGGTCTATTCCTGGAATTCCCAGCTATTCCCAGATACTTTTGGAGTAAGGAAGGGTCTATTCCCAACATTCCCAAGCACCCATGGAGTAAGGAAGGGTCTATTCCTGGAATTCCCAGGTATTCCCAGCTATCCCAGTTATTCCTAGAGGAGCAGGAAGGGTTGAATTCCCAGTGTTCCCAGTAACTCCCAGAGCAGGGGGGGCTGTATTCCCACTCCCAGCCCTCCCAGCATTCCCAGTATTCCCAGTACTCCCGTAGCAGGGGGGGCTGTATTCCCATTCCCAGTATTCCCAGCATTCCCAGTAACTCCCAGAGCAGGGGGGGGCTGTATTCCCATCCCTAGTATTCCCAGCCCTCCCAGCATTCCCAATATTCCCAGTACTCCTGTAGCAGGGGGGGCTGTATTCCCATTCCCAGTATTCCCAGCATTCCCAGTAACTCCCAGAGCAGGGGGGGGCTGTATTCCCATCCCTAGTATTCCCAGCACTCCCAGCATTCCCAATATTCCCAATATTCCCGTTACTCACGGAGTAGGGGGGGCTGTATTCCCGGTATTTCCTGGAATGCCCCTTTTCCCCCGGGCTGTATTCCCACTCCCAGCATTCCCAATATTCCCAATATTCCCGTTACTCACGGAGTAGGGGGGGCTGTATTCCCGGTATTTCCTGGAATGCCCCTTTTCCCCCGGGCTGTATTCCCACTCCCAGCACTCCCAGCATTCCCAATATTCCCAATATTCCCGTTACTCACGGAGTAGGGGGGGCTGTATTCCTGGTATTTCCTGGAATGCCCCTTTTCCCCCGGGCTGTATTCCCACTCCCAGCCCTCCCAGCATTCCCGTTATTCCCGTTACTCACGGAGTAGGGGGGGCTGTATTCCCGGTATTTCCTGGAATGCCCCTTTTCCCCCGGGCTGTATTCCCACTCCCAGCATTCCCAATATTCCCAATATTCCCGTTATTCCCAATATTCCCATTAACTCACGGAGTAGGGGGGGCTGTATTCCCGGTATTTCCTGGAATGCCCCTTTTCCCCCGGGCTGTATTCCGAGTCGTCGCTGTAGTCGGAGAAGTCGTCGCTGGACGAGGCGTGCCGCTGGAAAACACCCGGAAAACCCCGTTCCAGACCCCCCTCCCGCCCCTTCCCGGCCTCTGGAATTCGGCCCCGAGCCTCCCTCCGGCCCCTCGGTCCCAAAGAAAACCCCCCAGCGGGTTCTGGCTGAACTCCAGCCCGGGGGATTCCCAGGGATTCCTGGAGCCAACTCCAGGGGTTCCCGGGATCTGACAACAAACAGCCTGGATTTGGGGAATCCTGGGATTCCCAGGGCTCAGGGAGTGGGAGGGGCTGTATTCCCTTTCCCAGTATTCCCAGCATTCCCAGTGACTCCCGGAGCAGGGGGGGCTGTATTCCCAGTATTCCCAGCATTCCCAGTGACTCCCAGAGCTGGGAGGGCTGTATTCCCATTCCCAGCATTCCCAGTATTCCCAGTAACCCCTGGAGCAGGGGGGGCTGTATTCCCATTCCCAGCATTCCCAGTATTCCCAGTAACCCCTGGAGCAGGGGGGGGCTGTATTCCCACTCCACACCCCCCCCCTCTGAAGGAATTCCCAAAGGAAAACCCCCCTCTTCCCCAAAAACCCAGGCTTTCAAACACTCCTGCCCCGCGCAAGAGCAGAATTCCAAGGAGTCTCCGGGGGGCAGAGCCTCGACTCCCGGGAAAAAGCAGCTCCCGGGGGGGGAATTCCCTGCGGAATTCCGGCCCGGAGGATCCCCCCCAGTCCCACCTTGTGCTTGGATTTGCGTTTTTTCTTGGATCTCCTCTTCTCCTTCTCCTTGCGGCGCTTGCGCTTCGCCCGCCGGTGGGACTTCTCCTCCTCCGAGTCGCTGCGGTGCTTCTCCCCCTTCTCCCGCCGGCCCCTCTCCTGGGATTGGGATTGGGAATGATCCTCCTCCCCCCCGTCGTCCTCCAGCTCCCCCTCCTCCAGCTCCCCATCCTCCCTGGAAAACAGGGAAAACGGGAATGTTGAACCTCTGGGGGGGGGGGGAAATAAAGGGGGAGGAAACGGCCTCGCTCTGATCCCCAATTCCTGGAGGTTTCCTGAATTCCCGGGGAGATCCTGAATTCCTGGGGAGATCCTGAACTCCTGGGGAGATCCCGAACTCCTGGGGAGATCCCAAACTCCTGGGGAGATCCCGAATTCCCGGGGAGATCCCAAATTCCTGGGGAGATCCCAAATTCCCGGGGAGATCCCAAATTCCCGGGGAGATCCCGAACTCCTGGGGAGATCCCAAATTCCCGGGGAGATCCCGAATTCCCGGGGAGACCCCGAACTCCTGGGGAGATCCCGAACTCCTGGGGAGATCCCGAACTCCTGGGGAGATCCTGAACTCCCGGGGAGATCCCGAATTCCCGGGGAGATCCCGAACTCCTGGGGAGATCCCGAACTCCTGGGGAGATCCTGAACTCCTGGGGAGATCCCGAATTCCCGGGGAGATCCTGAACTCCCGGGGAGATCCTGAACTCCTGGGGAGATCCTGAACTCCCGGGGAGATCCTGAACTCCTGGGGAGATCCTGAACTCCCGGGGAGATCCTGAACTCCCGGGGAGATCCCGAATTCCCGGGGAGATCCCAAATTCCCGGGGAGATCCCGAACTCCTGGGGAGATCCCGAATTCCCGGGGAGATCCCAAACTCCTGGGGAGATCCCGAATTCCCGGGGAGATCCTGAACTCCTGGGGAGATCCTGAACTCCCGGGGAGATCCCAAATTCCTGGGGAGATCCCGAATTCCTGGGGAGATCCCGAACTCCCGGGGAGATCCCAAACTCCCGGGGAGATCCCAAACTCCCGGGGAGATCCCAAACTCCTGGGGAGATCCCAAACTCCCAGGGAGATCCCAAATTCCCAGGGAATTCCTGGTGAGACCCCAAATTCCTGGGGACTTCCTAAATTCCCTCTGAGATCCCAAATTCCCAGGGAATTCCTGGTGAGACCTCAAATTCCTGGTAAGATCCCAAATTCCCAGTGAATTCATGCTGAGACCCCAAATTCCTGGGGACTTCCTAAATTCCTGGTGAGACCCCAAATTCCTGGTGAGATCCCAAATTCCCAGTGAATTCATGCTGAGACCCCAAATTCCTGGTGGCTTCCTAAATTCCCTGTGAGACCCAAATTCCTTGTGAGACCCAAATTCCTGGTGAGATCCCAAATTCCTGGTGAGATCCCAAATTCCTTGTGAGACCCAAATTCCTGGTGAGCCCCCAAATTCCCAGGGAATTCCTGGTGAGCCCCCAAATTCCTGGTGAGGGAAACCCCCCCAGTTTGGGAATTTTGGGGGGCAGGATCCGGGGAAAAAGCAGCAGGACAAAGGTCTCCAAGTGACTCCCGGGGGTCGATCCGGGTGGGAGAATCCCGGTGGGAATTAATTAATTAACGACCTCCCTAACGAGGCCTCTCCAATCAACGCTTCCCACGCCCGGGCCCAGCTTTTCCCAGCTTTTGGGGGTTTTTTTTTGGGAATAAAAGGGAAGGGCCAAACCCCGGATTTGTGCTTAAACGGGGGGGGGGGGGGGGGCCCCAAACCCCCCAAAATTCCGATGATCCCGCTGGGAAAGGGGGAGGAGCCGGAGCGGTGTCGTTATTCCCACCGGGATGGGGTGCGGGGGGCAGGGACACCCCCGGAATCCTCGGGAATACCGGGAATTATCCAGGAAAATCCAGCGAGAGGGGACGTGTGGGGGGCACTGAGGTGCTTTTTACCACCTGATTTTTTGGGGTTTTTTTTGTGGTTTTCACACTTTTTCCAGTGATTTCCACCGACTTTTCCACTTTTTTTTTTTTTTTTTCGTTCCGGTTTTGTTTTCCAAGGAAAACCTGGGAGGGAATTCCGGGGCTAGAAACATTTGGGAAGATTATTTTTGTTTTTGGGGGGGGGGGGGGGGGGGAAAGGGATGAAAATTGTGTGCTTTTGTCACTTTTTTGGGGGTTTTTTTGGGGGGAATTCTGCTTGGTTTGGACACACGGGGACCGACTGGCTGCTCACACGGAGTTGACGTGGGATTCACACGGAATTCACGGGGATTTACGTGGGATTCACACGGGATTCACACGGAGAACACCTCGGGAATCACGGGCGGGGGGGGGGAAAAGGCAGGAAAAATGACATTTAACGACCCCAAATTCCTCCAGGTCCCCCCCATTTCCCGGGATTCCCCTCGGTTTTCCAGGGATAACCCCCAGAACCTCCCTGCATCCACCTGGGGTTAAGGAGAACTCCCCAAAAACCTCCCTGGATTTTCCTTTCTTTTTAAGGAATATCCCCAAAAACCTCCCTGGATATCAGAAATATCCCCAAAAACCTCCCTGGATTTAATTTTTTTATCAGGAATAACCCCAAAAAACCTCCCTGGATACCAGAAATATCCCCAAAACCTCCCTGGATTTTCCTTTCTTTTTAAGGAATATCCCCAAAAACCTCCCTGGATACCAGAAATATTCCCAAAACCTCCCTGGATTTCATTTTTTTATCAGGAATAACCCCAAAAAACCTCCCTGGATACCAGAAATATTCCCAAAACCTCCCTGGATTTTCCTTTTTTTATCAGGAATAACCCCAAAAAACCTCCCTGGATACCAGAAATATTCCCAAAACCTCCCTGGATTTAATTTTTTTATCAGGAATAACCCCAAAAAACCTCCCTGGATACCAGAAATATCCCCAAAACCTCCCTGGATTTTCCTTTCTTTTTAAGGAATATCCCCAAAACCCCCCCTGGATTTAATTTTTTCATCAGGAATAACCCCAAAACCTTCCTAAATTTCATTTTTTTTTATCAGGAATAACCCCAAAACCTTCCTAAATTTCATTTTTTTTATCAGGAATAACCCCAAAACCTTCCTAAATTTCATTTTTTTTATCAGGAATAACCCCAAAACCTTCCTAAATTTCATTTTTTTATTATCAGGAATAACCCCAAAACCTTCCTAAATTTCATTTTTTTTATCAGGAATAACCCCAAAACCTTCCCGAATTGACACTTTTTTAAGGAAAACCCTCAAAAAACCTCCCTGAATTTAATTTTTTTATCAAAAATATCCCCAAAAACCTCCCTGGATTGACCTTTTTTTAAGGAAAACCCCCCAAACCCTTCCTGGATTGACCTTTTTTAATCAAAAATATCCCCAAAAACCTCCCTGGATTTTCGTTTTTTAATCAAAAATATCCCCAAACACCTCCCTGCATTAATTTTTTTTATCAAGAGCATCCTCAAAACCTTTAATTTACCTTTTCTTTTTTATGGAAAACCCTCAAAAACCTTCCTGGATTGACCTTTTCCTCAAAAATATCCCCCAAACCTCCCTGAATTCACTTTTTTCATCAGGAATAGCCCCAAAACTTCCCTGGATTCCCCTTTTTCTCCTGCTTTTTTTCACATTATTTGGGTTCAACTACAGAAAAAAAAATGGGAATATGGGAAAGGGCTCCAAGTTATGGTGGGGAGGGGTCAGAAAAACAGGGAAAAAAGGGATTTTTTGGGGCAGGTATTGGTATTTTTGAGCGTTTTGAGCACTGGGGGGGAACTTGTCACACCCCAAAACCCCCCCCAGGGCCCCCCAAACTTCCTGATCCCACTTTGGGGGGGATTTAAGGGGATAAATTGGGTGTTCCTGAGGGAATAATGGCATGGAAAGGGATTAATAAGGACACAACCCCTCTAAAAACAGGCTCTAAACACACCTAAAAAGGAACTAAACCCCCCAAAAGAGGAGTTGAACCCCCCAAAAGAGGAGTTGAACCCCCCAAAAAGGAGCTGAACCCCCCAAAAAGGAGCTGAACCCCCCAAAAAAGAGGAGCTAACCCCCCCCAAAAGCAGCTAAATTGCCCCAAAAGAGGGTCTAAAGCCCCCCAAAAAGTAGCTGAACCCCCCAAAAAGGAACTAAACCCCCCAAAAAGGAGCTAAACCCCCCAAAAAGGAACTAAACCCCCCAAAAAGGAACTAAACCCCCCAAAAAGGAGCTAAACCCTCCAAAAAGAGGAGCTAAACCCCCCCAAAAGGAGCTAAACCCCCCCAAAAGGAGCTAAACTCCCCCAAAAAGCAGCTAAATTGCCCCAAAAGAGGGTCTAAAGCCCCCCCAAAAAGCAGCTAAATTGACCCAAAAAAGGAGCTAAAACCCCCCAAAAAGCAGCTAACCCCCCCCAAAAGAGGAACTAACCCCCCCAGCAGCTAAATTGCCCCCCAAAAGGATCTAAAGCCCCCCAAAAAGCAGCTAAAGCTTCCCAAAAAGGAGCTCCCCCCCAAAAAAAAAGGGGTTAAACCCTCCAAAAAGGGGCTAAACCCCCCAAAACAGGGTCTAACCCCCCAAACAGGGTCTAACCCCCCAAAAACAGGGTCTAACCCCCCCCCAAAGAGCCCCCAGACCCCCCCCAGCTCCTCCAGCCCCTCAGTCCTGACCCCCCCTCCCCAAAATCCCCTCCCAGGGCCTGCACAACCCCACCCACCCCCCAAAATGGGGCCCCCCTTCCTCCTCCTCCTCCGGGCCCCCCAGGCCCTCCCCCCCCAACGGGTCCCCCCTGAACCCCCTCCCCAAACCCCCCCGGGCCCTTCCTCACCTTCCTCTTCCTCCTCCTCCTCAGGACCCCTCCCCAAATCCCCCCCGGGCCCTTCCTCACCTTCCTCTTCCTCCTCTTCCTCAGGACCCCTCCCCAAATCCCCCCCCGGGCCCTTCCTCACCTTCCTCTTCCTCCTCCTCAGGACCCCTCCCCAAATCCCCCCCGGGCCCTTCCTCACCTTCCTCCTCCTCAGGACCCCTCCCCAAATCCCCCCCGGGCCCTTCCTCACCTTCCTCTTCCTCCTCCTCAGGACCCGGCCCCAAATCCCCCCCGGGCCCTTCCTCACCTTTCCCTCCTTCCTCCTCCGTCAGGACCCTCCCCAAATCCCCTCGGGCCCTTCCTCACCTTCCTCTTCCTCCTCCCCCTCCCCAATCCCCCCCGGCCCCTTCCTCACCTCCTCCTCCTCAGGACCCCTCCCCAAATCCCCCCCGGGCCCTTCCTCACCTTCCTCTTCCTCCTCCTCAGGACCCCTCCCCAAATCCCCCCCAGGCCCTTCCTCACCTTTCTCCTCCTCCTCAGGCCCCCGCTCCAACCGTTCCTCACCTTCTTCCTCTTCCTCCTCCCCAGAGCCCCCCCAAATTCCCTTCAGCCCCTTCCTCCTCCTCCTCAGAGCCCCCTCAAGTCCTTCCTCACCTTCCTCCTCCTCAGAGCCTTCCCCTCCCCAAATCCCCCTCGGGCCCTTCCTCACCTTCCTCCTTCAGACTCCTCTCAACTCCTTCCCCACCTTCCTCCTCCTCCTCAGGACCCCTGAGCCCCCTCCTCACACTGGGTCACCCCTCCTTCCTCCTCCTCCTCAGGACCCCCCCCACAAATCCCCCTCGAGCCCTTCCTCACCTTCCTCCTCCTCCTCAGACTCCTCTCAAGTCCTTCCTCACCTTCCTCCTCCTCGGACCCCCCTCTGCAAATCCCCCTCGGGCCCTTCCTCCTCCTCCTCCTCCTCCTCCTCAGAGCCGCCCCCCCAAGCCCTTCCTCCTCCTCTTCCTCGTCCTCACCCCCCCACCCCAAATCCCCCTCGGGTCCTTCCTCCTTCTCCTCAGACCCCCTTCTGACCCTTCCTCACCTTCCTCCTCCTCAGACCCCCCTCCCCAATCCCCCTCGAGCCCTTCCTCACCTTCCTCCTCCTCCTCAGGACCCCTCAAGTCCTTCCTCACCTTCCTCCTCCTCCTCCTCAGAGCCCCCTCAAGTCCTTCCTCACCTTCCTCCTCCTCCTCAGACTCCTCTCAAGCCCTTCCTCACCTTCCTCTTCCTCAGAGCCTCCCCCACGCTAAATCCCCCTCTGACCCTTCCTCACCTTCTCCTCCTCCTCACCCCCCCTCCCCAAATCCCCCTCAGGTCCTTCTTCTTCCTCCTCACCCCTCCCAGAATCCCCCTCAGGCCCCTTCCTCACCTTCCTCTTCCTCCTCCTCAGGCCCCCGCTCCAACCGTTCCTCACCTTCTTCCTCTTCCTCCTCCCCAGAGCCCCCCCAAATCCCCCTCAACCCCTTCCTCTTCCTCCTCCTCAGACCCTTCCTCACCTTCCTCCTCCTCCTCAGACCCCCCTCAGGCCCTTCCTCACCTTCCTCCTCCTCCTCAGACCCCCCTCAGGCCCTTCCTCACCTTCCTCCTCCTCAGACCCCCCTCAGGCCCTTCCTCGTCAGATCCCCCCCCATTCCCTGTCAAGGCCCTTCCTCCTCCTCAGACCCCCCTCAGGCCCTTCCTCACCTTCCTCCTCCTCCTCCTCAGGCCCTTCCTCACCTTCCTCTTCCTCCTCCAATCCCCCCCTCCCCAATCCCCCTCAGGCCCTTCCTCCTCAGATCCCCCCCCATTCCCTGTCAAGGCCCTTCCTCCTCCTCAGACCCCCTCACCTTCCTCCTCCTCCTCAGACCCCCCTCAGGCCCTTCCTCACCTTCCTCCTCCTCCAATCCCCCCCTCCCCAATCCCCCTCAGGCCCTTCCTCTTCAGATCCCCCCCCATTCCCTGTCAAGGCCCTTCCTCCTCCTCAGACCCCCCTCAGGCCCTTCCTCACCTTCCTCCTCCTCAGACTCCCCCGCGCCCTCTCCCCCCTTTTCCCCCCCCCTCCCCTTTTCCCCTCCCCAACCCCCCCCCCCGCCGCCCCCTCCCCAAACCTGGTCCGGCGCGCCGGACCGACCCCCAGGCACACAGAGAGCGGCCGCTCGGGAGAGGCGGTTACTGGACCTTTCGTCCGGGCCGTGCTGGAGCGGCGGCGGCGGCCGGGGGAGGCTGCAGCTGCCGTGGCAGGACGGAGAAGGGGGGGTGCAGTGCGGGCTGGGGGGGGAGGCGGCGGCGGCGGGGGGGACACTCGGGCTCTCCACGGCCATGGGCAACGGGCGGGGGGGTGGAGAACGGGGGGCACAGTCACTGAACGGCGCGGGGGGCTCGGCCCGGCGGCTCCTCCGCCCGCGCCCCGCGCTCCGCGGGCGGACACACAAAATGGCGCCCGCCCTGAGGCAGCGCCCCGGCGCCCGCCGGAAACACCCGAGCGCCGCCGGAAACACCCGAACGGCGCGGCGGAAACCGCCGAACGCTCGCGAACGGTTCCGAAGGGCCCCGAACGATCACGAAGCGCCCCCAGAAGCCCTGCGAGCGTTCCCGAAGCGCTCCCAAATCTCTCCGAACGTTTCCCAAGTTCTCCAAAGCTCAACAAACGTTTCCCAACGTTTCCTAACGTTTCCCAATGTTTCGGAAGGCCTCCGGCTGTTTACGGAGGCCTCCGGCTCTTTACGAAGGCGCTCCCCGAATGTTTCCGAAAGTTGCCGGAGATTGACGAAGTTCCCCGAAGGTGACGGCAGTGGCGGGAACGCCCACAGAGCGGGAAGGACGAGTCCATCTGAGCGCGCGGGGAGGGGGGAGTGACAACACGGGCTGCGCCACCCCGCCCACGGGGGAGGCGCCCAAAGCCCCTCGCCGCGGCCTCGTGCGCTCTCGCCGAGGTGAAACGGCGGGAAAAGGAAAAGATGGGGGTCGTTTTCTCCTGAGAGGTCTCGGGGGCCCGGGCTGGGTTCGAAGGGTGTCCCCCCCCCGCCGGCAGTGGGGAGGCGGAGCGGCGGCGGGAGCCGCGCGGCGGTTTGCGCGGGCCGCCAGGGGGCGCCACGGGGCGGCTGAGGGGCCGTGAGGGGCCGTGAGGGGCTTCGGGGGGTCGTGAGGGGTCTGAGGGACCTTAACGGGGCCTGAGGGGCTTCGGGGGGTCCTGAGGGGCTTTGGGGGGGTTGTCTGAGGGACCTTAACGGGGCCTGAGGGGCTTCGGGGGGTCCTGAGGGGCTTTGGGGGGGTTGTCTGAGGGACCTTAACGGGGCCTGAGCGGCTTTGGGAGGTCGTGAGGGGTCTGAGGGACCTTAACGGGGCCTGAGCGGCTTTGGGGGGGGTCTGAAGGACCTTAACGGGTCCTGAGGAGCTTGGGGAGGAGTCTGAGGGGCTTTGAGGGGTCTGAGAGACCTTAAGGGGCTGTGAGGAGCTTCGAGGGGCCGCTTTGAAGGGTTTGAGAGACCCTGAGAGGCTCTCGGGGGGTCTGAGCGACCTCGAGGGTTCGTGAGGGGGCTCTGAGGGACCGCGAAGGCTCTGAGGGACCGTGAAGGGTCCGAGGGGCTCGCGGCGATGGTGGAGAAGGACGAGTCCGGCCCCGGCGGCATCAGCGAGGAGGAGGCGGCTCAGTACGACCGGCAGATCCGCCTCTGGGGGCTCGAGGCCCAGAAAAGGTCCGTGGGCATGGGGGGGTCTATAGGGGGCCGGGGGGACCCTATAGGGGTCGTGGGAGGAGGGTTCTGGGGGGGTCTGGGGGGGCTGTGTAGCAGCTGGGAGGGGGCTCTATGGGGGCCTGGGGGGTCCTTATGGGAGCTGAGGGAGCCCTATAGGAGTTGGGGAGGATCTATAGGAGCTTGGGGGGGACCCTATGGGGGTCTGAGTGGTCCTTATAGGAGCTGGGGGGGACCTTATAGCGATTTGGGGAGGATCTATAGGAGCTTGAGGGGGACCCTATAGGGGTCTGGAGGGTTCCTATGGGGTCCTGGGGCATCCTTTAGGAGTTTCGGGGGGATCCTATAGGGGTTTGGGGAGGATCTATAGGAGCTTGAGGGGGACCCTATGGGGGTCTGGAGGGTTCCTATGGGGTCCTGGGACGTCCTATAGGAGGTTGAGGGGGACCTTATAGGGGTCTGGAGGGTTCCTGTAGGGTCCTGGGACATCCTTTAGGAGTTTGGGGGGGATCCTATAGGGGTTTGGGGTGTGCCCATAGGAGGGAGGGGAGCCCTATAGGGGTTTGGGGAGGATCTATAGGAGCTGGGGGGGGACCCTATAGGAGTCTGGAGGGTTCCTGTAGGGTCCTGGGATATCCTGTAGGAGCTGGGGGGGGACCCTGTAGGGGTCTGGAGGGTTCCTATGGGGTCCTGGGGCATCCTATAGGAGCTTGGGGGGGACCTTATAGGGGTCTGGAGGATTCCTGTTGGGTCCTGGGACGTCCTATAGGAGCTTGGGGGGGACCTTATAGGGGTCTGGAGGGTTCCTACGGGGTCCTGGAACATCCTGTAGGAGCTTGGGGCGGACCCTATAGGGTTTTGGGGTGTGCCCATAGGAGGGAGGGGAGCCCTATAGGGGTTTGGGGAGGATCTATAGGAGCTGGGGGGGGGCCTATAGGGGTCTGGAGGGTCCTTATAGGAGCTGAGGGGACCCTATAGGGATTTGGGGCGGATCTATAGGAGCTGGGGGGGGCCCTATAGGGCTCTGGAGGGTCTCTGTAGGAGCCCTCCTGGGGGGTGTGTCATTCCCGAGGGGTTTTCCCGCCTTTCCCACCTTTTCCCGGGCTTCCCCGCAGGTTACGGGCGTCGCGGGTGCTGCTGGTGGGGCTGCGGGGCCTGGGGGCAGAGGTGGCCAAAAACCTCATCCTGGCCGGGGTCAGGGGGGTCACCCTGCTCGACCATCGCCAGGTGAGCGGGGGGCACACCTGGGGGGCACAGACACACCTGGGGGGCACAGACACACCTGGGGGGCACCTGGGCACACCTGGGGGGCACAGACACACCTGGGGGGCACAGACACACCTGGGGGGCACAGACACACCTGGGCACACCTGGGGGGCACAGACACACCTGGGGGGCACAGACACACCTGGGGGGCACAGACACACCTGGGCACACCTGGGAGGCACAGACACCTGGGCACACCTGGGGGGCACCTGGGCACACCTGGGGGGCACAGACACACCTGGGCATAACCTCATCCTGGCCGGGGTCAGGGGGGTCACCCTGCTTGACCATCGCCAGGTGAGCGGGGGGCACGCCTGGGGGGCACCTGGGCACACCTGGGCACATCTGGGGGGGGCACAGACACACCTGGAGGGGCACAGACACACCTGGGCACGCCTGGGGGGCACCTGGGCACACCTGGGGGGCACAGACACACCTGGGGGGCACCTGGGCACACCTGGGGGGCACAGACACACCTGGGCACACCTGGGAGGCACAGACACACCTGGGCACACCTGGGCACAGCCTCATCCTGGCCGGGGTCAGGGGGGTCACCCTGCTCGACCATCGCCAGGTGAGCGGGGGGCACACCTGGGGGGCACAGACACACCTGGGCACACCTGGGGGGCACACCTGGGCACAGCACACCTGGGCACACCTGGGGGGCACAGACCACACCACTGGGGCACAAACACACCTGCACAACCTGATCGCACTTCCAGAATACTCATCCCTGTGTCCCATCCCAGGTGTCCCAGAAGGACACTGGTGCCCAGTTCCTTGTTCCAGTGGGATCCCAGCTCTGGAATTCCCATCCTGTCCCATCCCAGCTTTCCCAACAGGACTGTGGTTCCCAGTTCCTGATCCCGGTCTGGAATTCCAGGTTTCCCAGGATGACACTCATGCCCAATTCCTGATCCCGTTCTGGAATTCCCATCCCTGTGTCCCATCCCATCCCATTCCAGGTTTCCCAGGAGGACTGTGGTGCCCAGTTGCTGATCCCAGTCTGGAATTCCTATCCCAGGTGTCCCAGGAGGACTGTGGTTCCCAGTTCCTGGTCCCATTCCTAATCCCATTCCCAATCCCATTCCAGGTTTCCCCGGATGGCAGTGGTTCCCAGTTGCTGATTCCATTCCCATTGCAGGTTTCCCAGGACTGTGGTTCCCAGTTCCTGATCCCATTCCCATTCCCATTCCCATTGCAGGTATCCCAGGACTGTGGTTCCCAGTTCCTGATCCCATTCCCAATCCCAATCCCATTCCAGGTTTCCCAGGACTGTGGTTCCCAGTTCCTGATCCCATTCCCATTCCCGTTCCAGGTTTCCCAGGACTGTGGTTCCCAGTTCCTGATCCCATTCCCATTCCCGTTGCAGGTTTCCCCGGATGACAGCCGTTCCCAGTTCCTGATCCCATTCCCATTCCCAATCCCGTTGCAGGTTTCCCAGGACTGTGGTTCCCAGTTCCTGGTCCCAGTTCCTGATCCCATTCCCAATCCCATTCCCGTTCCAGGTTTCCCAGGACTGTGGTTCCCAGTTCCTGATCCCATTCCCATTCCCATTCCAGGTTTCCCCGGATGACAGCTGTTCCCAGTTCCTGGTCCCAATCCCATTCCCATTCCCAATCCCATTCCAGGTTTCCCCGGATGACAGCTGTTCCCAGTTCCTGATCCCATTCCCAATCCCATTCCCAATCCCATTCCAGGTTTCCCCGGATGACAGCTGTTCCCAGTTCCTGATCCCAATCCCATTCCCATTCCCAATCCCGTTCCAGGTTTCCCCGGATGACAGCTGTTCCCAGTTCCTGATCCCATTCCCAATCCCATTCCCAATCCCATTCCAGGTTTCCCAGGACTGTGGTTCCCAGTTCCTGATCCCAATCCCATTCCCATTCCCATTCCAGGTTTCCCAGGACTGTGGTTCCCAGTTCCTGGTCCCATTCCCAATCCCATTCCCATTCCCATTCCAGGTTTCCCCGGATGACAGCTGTTCCCAGTTCCTGATCCCATTCCCAATCCCATTCCCAATCCCATTCCAGGTTTCCCAGGACAGCTGTTCCCAGTTCCTGATCCCATTCCCAATCCCATTCCCATTCCCGTTCCAGGTTTCCCAGGACTGTGGTTCCCAGTTCCTGATCCCATTCCCAATCCCATTCCAGGTTTCCCCGGACAGCTGTTCCCAGTTCCTGATCCCATTCCCTGGTCCCATTCCCAATCCCGTTCCAGGTTTCCCCGGACAGCTGTTCCCAGTTCCTGGTGCCGGCGGGCTCGTGTGGCCGGAACGTGGCCGAGGCGTCGCTGGGCCGTGCCCAGAGCCTGAACCCCATGGTGGAGGTGAGGGCCGACCCCGAGAGCGTCGACGCCAAACCCCACGACTTCTTCACCCAGTTCGACGCGGTACGGGCTGCGGGCACCACTCGGGGGGCACTGGACCAGTCTGGGGGGGATTGGACCAGTTTGGGGGGGTTGGACCAGTTTGGGGGGGGGTTGGACCAGTTTGGGTGGGATTGGACCAGTTTGGGGGGGGGTTGGACCAGTTTGGGGGGGGTTGGACCAGTTTGGGTCTGGATTGGCCCAGTTTGGGGGGGATTGGACCAGTTTGGGGGGCACTGGACCAGTTTGGGTGGGATTGGACCAGTTTGGGTCTGGATTGGCCCAGTTTGGGGGGGATTGGACCAGTTTGGGGGGCACTGGACCAGTTTGGGGTGGGGTTGGACCAGTTTGGGGGGGATTGGACCAGTTTGGGGGGCACTGGACCAGTTTGGGTCTGGATTGGCCCAGTTTGGGGGGGATTGGAGCAGTTTGGGTGGGATTGGACCAGTTTGGGGTGGGGTTGGACCAGTTTGGGGGGGGATTGGACCAGTTTGGGGGGGACTGGACCAGTTTGGGGGGGATTGGACCATTTGGGGGGGGGGGTTGGAGGAACCAGTTTGGGGGGGGGGTTTTGGTTGGACCAGTTTGGGTGGGATTGGACCAGTTTGGGGGGGGTTGGACCAGTTTGGGGGGGATTGGACCAGTTTGGGGGGGGGTTGGACCAGTTTGGGGCTGGATTGGCCCAGTTTGGTGCTGGATTTTCCCATTTTGGGGCTGGATTGTCCCAGTTTGGGGCTGGATTGTCCCAGTTTGGGGCTGGATTGGCCCAGTTTGGGGCTGGATTGTCCCATTTTGGGGCAGGATTGTCCCATTTTGGGGCTGGATTGTCCCATTTTGGGGCTGGATTGTCCCATTTTGGGGCTGGATTGTCCCATTTTGGGGCTGGATTTTCCCATTTTGGGGCAGGATTGTCCCATTTTGGGGCTGGATTGTCCCATTTTGGGGCAGGATTGTCCCATTTTGGGGCAGGATTGTCCCATTTTGGGGCTGGATTGTCCCATTTTGGGGCTGGATTGGCCCATTTTGGGGCTGGATTTTCCCATTTTGGGGCTGGATTGTCCCATTTTGGGGCAGGATTGTCCCATTTTGGGGCTGGATTGTCCCATTTTGGGGCTGGATTGTCCCATTTTTCAGGCAGGATTGTCCCATTTTGGTGCTGGATTGTCCCATTTTGGGGCTGCATTGTCCCAGTTTGGGGCTGCATTGTCCCATTTTGGGGCAGGATTGTCCCGTTTTGGAGCAGGCTGGGTGGGTCCCAGGGAGATTTTGGGGGCTCTGAGTGCCTCACCCGTGGAATTCCCATTCCCAGGTGTGCCTGACGTGCTGCTCCCGGGAGTCCATGGTGAGGATCAACCAGATCTGCCACCAGAGCGGGGTCAAGTTCTTCACCGGGGACGTCTTTGGCTACCACGGCTTCATGTTCGCTGACCTGGGCCACCACGAGTTTGTGGAGTGAGTCTGGGGGAATTCCCGGCCCCAATCCCGGGATTTGGGGCCACATTCCCAGATTTTGGGCCCTGGGAGTGAGTCTGGGGGGAAATCCCAGCCCCAATCCCGGGATTTGGGGCCCCATTCCCAGATTTTGGCCCTGGGAGTGAGTCTGGGAGGAGAACCAGCCCAAATCCCGGGATTTGGGGCCACATTCCCAGAGTTTGGGCCCTGGGAGTGAGTCTGGGGGGAATTCCCAGCCCCAATCCCGGGATTTGGGGCCACATTCCCAGAGTTTGGGCCCTGGGAGTGAGTCTGGGGGGGAAAACCAGCCCCAATCCCGGGATTTGGGGCCACATTCCCAGAGTTTGGGCCCTGGGAGTGAGTCTGGGGGGGAAATCCCAGCCCCAATCCCGGGATTTGGGGCCACAATTCCCAGAGTGTATTTGGGCCTGGGAGTGAAGTCTGGGGGAATTCCCGTCCCAAATCCCGGGATTTGGGGCCAACATCCACAGAGGTTTTGTGCCCTGGAGTGAGTCGGGTGGGAGAACCAGCCCCATCCCGGGATTTGGTGCCACATTTCCCAGATTTTGGGCCTGGGAGTGAGTCTGGGGGGGAAATCCCAGCCCCAATCCCGGGATTTGGGGTCACATTCCCAGAGTTTGGGCCCTGGGAGTGAGTCTGGGGGAATTCCCAGCCCCAATCCCGGGATTTGGGGCCACATTCCCAGAGTTTGGGCCCTGGGAGTGAGTCTGGGGGAATTCCCGGCCCCAATCCCGGGATTTGGGGCCACATTCCCAGAGTTTGGGCCCTGGGAGTGAGTCTGGGGGGGAAAACCAGCCCCAATCCCGGGATTTGGGGCCACATTCCCAGAGTTTGGGCCCTGGGAGTGAGTCTGGGGGGGAAATCCCAGCCCCAATCCCGGGATTTGGGGCCACATTCCCAGATTTTGGCCCTGGGAGTGAGTCTGGGGGGGAATTCCCAGCCCCAATCCCGGGACTTGGGGCCACATTCCCAGAGTTTGGGCCCTGGGAGTGAGTCTGGGGGGAGAACCAGCCCCAAATCCCGGGATTTGGGGCCACATTCCCAGAGTTTGGCCCTGGGAGTGAGTCTGGGGGAATTCCCAGCCCCAATCCCGGGATTTGGGGCCACATTCCCAGAGTTTGGCCCTGGGAGTGAGTCTGGGGGGGAAATCCCAGCCCAAATCCCGGGATTTGGGGCCACATTCCCAGAGTTTGGGCCCTGGGAGTGAGTCTGGGGGGAATCCCAGCCCCAATCCCGGGATTTGGGGCCCCATTCCCAGAGTTTGGCCCTGGGAGTGAGTCTGGGGGGAGAATTTGGGGCCACATTCCCAGAGTTTGGGCCCTGGGAGTGAGTCTGGGGGGAATTCCCGGCCCCAATCCCGGGATTTGGGGCCACATTCCCAGATTTTGGGCTCTGGGAGTGAGTCTGGGGGGGAAATCCCAGCCCCAATCCCGGGATTTGGGGCCACATTCCCAGAGTTTGGCCCTGGGAGTGAGTCTGGGGGGAATCCCAGCCCAAATCCCGGGATTTGGGGCCACATTTCCAGAGTTTGGGGCCCTGGGAGTGAGTCGTGGGGAATTCCAAGCCCCAATCCCGGGATTTGGGGCCATGTGCCCAGATTTTTGTGGGGCCCTGGGAGTGAGTTGATCGGGGGGGAAAATCCCAGCCCCATCCTGGGATTTGGGGCCCCATTCCCAGATTTTGTTTGGCCCGGGAGTGGTCTGGGGGGATATGCCCGGCCAAATCCCCCGGGAATTTGGGGCCATTCCCAGAGTTTGGGCCCTGGGAGTGAGTCTGGGGGGAATTCCCAGCCCCAATCCCGGGATTTGGGGCCACATTCCCAGAGTTTGGGCCCTGGGAGTGAGTCTGGGGGGAATTCCCGGCCCCAATCCCGGGATTTGGGGCCACATTCCCAGAGTTTGGGCCCTGGGAGTGAGTCTGGGGGAATTCCCGGCCCAAATCCCGGGATTTGGGGCCACATTCCCGGAGTTTGGGCCCTGGGAGTGAGTCTGGGGGAATTCCCGGCCCCAATCCCGGGATTTGGGGCCACATTCCCAGAGTTTGGGCCCTGGGAGTGAGTCTGGGGGGGAAAACCAGCCCCAATCCCGGGATTTGGGGCCACATTCCCAGAGTTTGGGCCCTGGGAGTGAGTCTGGGGGGGAAATCCCAGCCCCAATCCCGGGATTTGGGGCCCCATTCCCGGATTTTGGCCCTGGGAGTGAGTCTGGGGGGGAATCCCAGCCCCAATCCCGGGATTTGGGGCCACATTCCCAGAGTTTGGGCCCTGGGAGTGAGTCTGGGGGGAATTCCCAGCCCCAATCCCGGGATTTGGGGCCACATTCCCACATTTTGGGCCCTGGGAGTGAGTCTGGGGGGAATTCCCGGCCCAAATCCCGGGATTTGGGGCCCCATTCCCAGATTTTGGCCCTGCTGTCCCCAGGGAGAAGCCCAAGGTGGCCAAAGGGAGCCCGGGGGTGGAGGACGGACCCGAGGCCAAACGGGCCCGGCTGGACCCCCCCGAGACCACCATGGTCAAAAAGGTGAGGGGGGGGATTCCTGGGGGGGAAAAACGGGATGGGAGAGCTGGGAATGGGGAGAGGGGCACGGGAAATGGGGGGGTGGGCACGGAAAATGGGGGTGTGGCTCCTAAAAATGGGGATGTGGGCTCGAAAAATGGGGATTTGGGATCAAAAAATGGGGGGGTGGGCTCTGAAAATGGGGATGTGGCAACAAGGATGGGGATATGGGATCTAAAAATGGGGGTATGGGCTCTAAAAATGGGGGGGTGGGCTCTGAAAATGGGGATGTGGGATCTAAAAATGGGGGTGTGGGCTCTAAAAATGGGGGTGTGGGCTCTAAAAATGGGGATGTGGCAACAAGGATGGGGATAGGGGCTCTAAAAATGGGGGTATGGGCTCTAAAAATGGGGGTGTGGGCTCTAAAAATGGGGGTGTGGGCTCTAAAAATGGGGGTGGGCTCTAAAAATGGGGGGGTGGGCTCTAAAAATGGGGGTATGGGCTCTAAAAATGGGGGTGTGGGCTCTGAAAATGGGGATATGGGATCTAAAAATGGGGGTTAGACCCCTAAAAAGTGGGATAGAGTTTTAAAAACCGGGATAGAGTTTTAAAAACCGGGATAGAGTTTTAAAAACCGGGATAGAGTCCTTAGAAACCAGGATGGGCCCCTAAAAACTGGGATAGACCCTTAAAAACTGGGAGAGACCCCTAAAAACTGGGAGAGACCCCTAAAAACTGGGAGAGACCCCTAAAAACTGGGAGAGACCCCTAAAAACTGGGATATGGCCCTGGAAACCCGGATAGCCCCTTAAAAAACAGGATACAGCCCCTAAAAACTGGGATGGAGCTTTAGAAAATGGGATAGACCTCTAAAAACTGGGATAGACCCTTGAAAACAGGGATAGATCCCTAAAAACTGGGATAGACCCTTGAAAACTGGGATAGACCCCTAAAAACTGGGATAGACCCCTGAAAACTGGGATAGACCCCTAAAAACTGGGATAGATCCCTAAAAACTGGGAGAGACCCCTAAAAACTGGGAGAGACCCCTAAAAACTGGGAGAGACCCCTAAAAACTGGGAGAGACCCCTAAAAACTGGGAGAGAGCCCTAAAAACTGGGATATGGCCCTGGAAACCTGGATAGCCCCTTAAAAAACAGGATACAGCCCCTAAAAACTGGGATGGAGCTTTAGAAAATGGGATAGACCCCTAAAAACTGGGATAGATCCCTAAAAACTGGGATAGATCCCTAAAAACTGGGATAGACCCCTAAAAACTGGGATAGACCCCTAAAAACTGGGAGAGACCCCTAAAAACTGGGGTAGACCCCTAAAAACTGGGATAGACCCCTAAAAACTGGGAGAGACCCCTAAAAACTGGGAGAGACCCTTAAAAACTGGGATAGACCCCTAAAAACTGGGATAGATCCCTAAAAACTGGGATATGGCCCTGGAAACCTGGATAGCCCCTTAAAAAACAGGATACAGCCCCTAAAAACTGGGATGGACCTTTAGAAAATGGGATAGACCCCTAAAAACTGGGATAGATCCCTAAAAACTGGGATAGATCCCTAAAAACTGGGATAGACCCTTAAAAACTGGGATAGATCCCTGAAAACTGGGATAGATCCTTAAAAACTGGGATAGATCCCGAAAAACTGGGGTAGACCCCTGAAAACTGGGATAGATCCCTAAAAACTGGGATAGATCCTTAAAAATTAAGGATAGGACCTGAAAATTGGGATAGACCCCTAAAAGCTGGGATAGACCCTTTAAAAACTGGGAGAGACCCTTAAAAATTGGGATAGACCCTTAAAAACTGGGATAGACTCCTAAAAACTGGGATAGACCCCTAAAAACTGGGATAGACCCTTAAAAACTGGGAGAGATCCCTAAAATCTGGGATAGATCCCTAGAAACTGGGATAGACCCCTAAAAACTGGGAGAGACCCCTAAAAACTGGGATAGACCCCTAAAAACTGGGATAGATCCCTAAAAACTGGGATAGATCCTTAAAAATTAAGGATAGGACCTGAAAATTGGGATAGACCCCTAAAAGCTGGGATAGACCCTTTAAAAACTGGGAGAGACCCCTAAAAACTGGGATAGACCCTTTAAAAACTGGGAGAGACCCCTAAAAACTGGTAGATACCCTTAAAACTGTGGTAGACCCCTAAAAACAGGGATAGACCCTTGAAAACTGGGATGAGCCTAAAAAACTGGGATAGAGCCCCTAAAATCTGGGATAGACCCCTAAAAACTGGGAGAGAGCCCTAAAAACTGGGATAGAGCCTAAAAACTGGGATAAGAGCCCTAAAAACCGGGATGTGGCCCCGGAAACACGGCTAGCCCCTTAAATAGCCGCTGGAATTCCCGGCTGGAATTCCCGAGGCATAGCGGAAACCCCCCCCCCCCACGAAACCCCCCCCCCCCCCCCCCCCCGGGCTTTGGGCTGAGGGGAAGGGCTGAGCCGGCACATTCCTTCAGCATTCCGGCCGGGAATGGCCCCGGAATGGCCCCGGAATGGCCCCCGGGGCAGCAGCTGCCGGCTCCCGGATCCGCCGGGAATTCCTCCGGAGGAGAGTTTGGGATTCCAGAGCCCCGGAGGGCCGGGCTGGGGCCTGGGGATTGGGAGAATTCCCAGCTCCCTGTCCCTGGGCATTGGGAGAATTCCCAGCTCCCTGTCCCTGTGGATTGGGAGAATTCCCAGCTCCCTGTCCCTGGGGATTGGGAGAATTCCCAGCTCCCTGTCCCTGGGCATTGGGAGAATTCCCAGCTCCCTGTCCCTGGGCATTGGGAGAATTCCCAGCTCCCTGTCCCTGGGCATTGGGAGAATTCCCAGCTCCCTGTCCCTTTGGAATTGGGAGAATTCCCAGCTCCCTGTCCCTTTGGAATTGGGAGAATTCCCAGCTCCCTGTCCCTTTGGAATTGGGAGAATTCCCAGCTCCCTGTCCCTGGGCATTGGGAGAATTCCCAGCTCCCTGTCCCTGGGCATTGGGAGAATTCCCAGCTCCCTGTCCCCATGGACATGGGAGAATTCCCAGCTCCCTGTCCCTGGGGATTGGGAGAATTCCCAGCTCCCTGTCCCTGTGGAAGCAGGAGAATTCCCAGCTCCCTGTCCCTGTGGAAGCAGGAGAATTCCCAGCTCCCTGTCCCCACAGACATGGGAGAATTCCCAACTCCTTCCCTCGTCCCCTCCAGGCTTTGCAGCCACCTCTCCCAAATTCCCAAATTCCCAAATCCCAAATTCCCCCCGGCCGGTCTCTCACCCGCCCTTCCCGCCCCCACCCCCGACATTCCCAAACTCCCGGGAATTGGGGGCCGATCCCTCCCCCCCTCTCCCTGAGCCCCCCGGTGTCCCCCCTCTGGCATTCCCAGCGCCTGGAATTCTGCTCCCTGCGGGAAGCCCTGGCCGTGGAGTGGCGCGGGGAGAAGGCGGCGGCCGCGCTGCGACGGACGGCCCCGGACTACTTCCTGCTCCAAGGTGAATTCCCGGGAAAAAAACCCTCCCTTCCCGCTTTTCCCACGTCCTGAGGGGGTTTCCTCCCCTTCCCTAAATTCCTGTGAGTGGAATTTTCTTCCCCCCCTGGATGATCCGGGTTTGCCCCTGGGAAGAGCTCGGGATGTTCCCTCGGGAAGAGCCCAACTTTTTCCTGCTCCAAGGTGAATTCCCAGGAAAAAACCCCTCCCTTCCCACTTTTCCCACGTCCTGAGGGGGTTTCGTCCCCTTCCCTAAATTCCTGTGAGTGGAATTTCTTCCTCTCCTGGATAATCCGGGTTTGCCCCTGGGAAGAGCTCGGGGTGTTCCCTCGGGAAGAGCTCGATGTTCCCTTGGGAAGGACCTGTCTACTTCCTGCTCCAAGGTGAATTCCCGGGAAAAAACCCCTCCCTTCCCGCTTTTCCCACGTCCTGAGGGTGTTTCCTTCCCTTCCCTAAATTCCTGTGAGTGGAATTTTCTTCCCCCCCTGGATGATCCGGGTTTGCCCCTGGGAAGAGCTCAGGGTGTTCCATCAGGAAGAGCCCAACTTTTTCCTGCTCCAAGGTGAATTCCCGGGAAAAAAACCCTCCCTTCCCGCTTTTCCCACGTCCTGAGGGGGTTTTGTCCCCTTCCCTAAATTCCTGTGAGTGGAATTTTGTTTCCCCCCTGGATAATCCGGGTTTGCCCCTGGGAAGAGCTCGATGTTCCCTCGGGAAGAGCCCGACTTCTTCCTGCTCCAAGGTGAATTCCCAGGAAAAAACCCCCTCCCTTCCCGAATTTTTCCCTCGTCCTTGAGGGTGTTTTGTTGCCTTCCCTGAAATTCCACAGGATCCGTGTCCCGCCAGCGGTGTTGGGGATCCCAGCGTTCCCCTTCCCTCTGTAATTCCCATTTTTCCCATTTTCCCCCAGTCCTGCTGACATTCCGCTCGGAGCAGGGTCGGGATCCGTGTCCCAGCAGCGGTGTTGGGGATCCCAGCGTTCCCCTTCCCTCTGTAATTCCCATTTTTCCCATTTTCCCCCAGTCCTGCTCAGGTTCCGCTCGGAGCAGGGTCGGGATCCGTGTCCCGGGAGCAGTGTTGGGGATCCCAGCGTTCCCATTCCCTCTGTAATTCCCATTTTTCCCTCTGTAATTCCCATTTTTCCCATTTTCCCTCAGTTTTGCTCCGGTTCCGCTCGGAGCAGGGTCGGGATCTGTGTCCCGGGGGTGGTGTTGGGGATCCCAGCGTTCCCATTCCCTCTGTAATTCCCGTTTTTCCCTCTGTAATTCCCATTTTTCCCATTTTCCCCCAGTTTTGCTGACATTCCGCTCGGAGCAGGGCCGGGATCCGTGTCCCGGGGGTGGTGTTGGGGACCCCAGCGTTCCCCTTCCCTCTGTAATTCCCATTTTTCCCTCTGTAATTCCCGTTTTTCCCATTTTCCCCCAGTCCTGCTGACATTCCGCTCGGAGCAAGGCCGGGATCTGTGTCCCGGGGGTGGTGTTGGGATTCCCAGCGTTCCACCGTCTCCGCTCTGTAATTCCCATTTTTTCCCAGTTTCCCCCCAGTCCTGCTGACAGCCGCCTCGGAGCAGGGTCGGGATTCCGTGTCCGGGGGTGGTGTGGGGGATACCAGCGTTTCCCATTTCCCTCTGTAATTCCATCCATTCCCATTTTCCCGCTGTAATATGCATTTTTTCCCCTCTGTAATTCCCATTTTTTTTTCCTTTGTGTCCCATTTTCCCCCAGTCCTGCTGACATTCCGCTCGGAGCAGGGTCGGGATCCGTGTCCCGGGAGTGGAGTTGGGGATCCCAGCGTTCCCATTCCCTCTGTAATTCCCATTTTTCCCTCTGTAATTCCCATTTTTCCCTCTGTAATTCCCATTTTTCCCATTTTCCCCCAGTTTTGCTGACATTCCGCTCGGAGCAGGGTCGGGATCCGTGTCCCGGGGGCGGTGTTGGGGACCCCAGCGTTCCCATTCCCTCTGTAATTCCTGTTTTTCCCCCCAGTCCTGCTCCGGTTCCGCTCGGAGCAGGGTCGGGATCCGTGTCCCGGCAGCGGCTCCGAGGACTCCGAGCGGCTCCTTCGGCTGCGCCGGGAGGTGTTGGAGGCTCTGGGGGTGGGGCCGCAGCTGCTGCCGGAGCACTTCCACAGGTCAATGGCCCCAAAGGGGCCCCAAAGCGTCCCCAAAGGGTCCCCAAAATGTCCCCAAAATGTCCCTAAAGTGTCCCCAAAGTGTCCTCAAAGGGTTCCCCAAGTGTCCCCAAAATGTCCCCAAAGTGTTCTCAAAGGGTGTCCCCAAAGGGTTCCCCAAGTGTCCCCAAAATGTCCCCAAAGTGTTCTCAAAGGGTGTCCCCAAAGCGTCCCCAAAGGGGCCCCAAAATGTCCCCAAAGTGTCCCCAGAGTGTCCCCAAAGTGTCCCCAAAATGTCCCCAAAGTGTCCCCAAAATGTCCTCAAAATGTCCCCAAAGGGGCCCCAAAGTGTCCCCAAAGGGGGTCCCCAAAGTGTCCCCAAAGTGTCCCCAAAGGGTCCTCAAAATGTCCCCAAAGTGTCCCCAAAATGTCCCCAAAGGGTCCCCAAAATGTCCCCAAAATGTCCCCAAAGGGTTCCCAAAGTGTCCCCAAAATGTCCCCAAAGGGTTCCCAAAGTGTCCCCAAAATGTCCCCAGGGTGTCATCAAAGAGTGTCCCCAAAGTGTCCTCAGGGTGTCCCCAAAATGTCCCCAAAGGGTTCCCAAAGTGTCCCCAAAATGTCCCCAAAGTGTCCTCAAAGGGTGTCCCCAAAATGTCCCCAAAATGTCCTCAAAGGGTGTCCCCAAAATGTCCCCAAAGGGTCCTCAAAATGTCCCCAAAGTGTCCCCAAAATGTCCCCAAAGGGTCCCCAAAGGGTCCCCAAAGTGTCCCCAAAATGTCCCCAGAGTGTTCTCAAAGGGTGTCCCTAAAATGTCCCCAAAGTGTCCCCAGAGTGTTCTCAGGGTGTCCCCAAAGGGGGTCCCCAAAGTGTCATCGAAGTGTCCCCAAAGTGTCCTCAGGGTGTCCCCAGAGTGTCATCAGGGCCACCCTGTCCCCAAAGTGTCCCTAAAATGTTCCCAAAGGGTCCCCAAAGGTTCCTCAAAGTGTCCCTAAAATGTCCCCAAAGTGACCCCAAGGTGTCCCCAAAGTGTTCTCAAAGTGTCCCCAAGGCCACCTCGTCCCCAGGGTGTCATCAAAGGGTCCTTAAAAGGTCCCCAAAGTGTCCCCAAAATGTCCTCAAAGAGTCCCCAAAGAGTCCCCAAAGTGTCCCTAAAATGTCCCCAAAGTGTCCCTAAAATGTCCCCCGAGTGTCCTCAAAGAGTCCCCAAAGTGTCCCTAAAATGTCCCCAGAGTGTCCCTAAAATGTCCCTGGGGTGCCCCCAAAGTGTCCCCAAAGGGTCCGTCCCCAAGGTGTCCCCAGGATGTCCCCAAAGCCACCCCATCCCCAGGGTGTCCCCAAGGTGTCCCCAGTGACACCGAGCAGCTTTTTGGGGCCAAACTTTGGGATTTTAGGGCCACCCAGACCCCTTTTTTTGGGCTGAACCCCCTCGTGTTCTCAGCACCTCTTTTGGGCCCAAACCTCACGGGGTTTTTTTTGGGAGGAGATGATCCCAATCCCTGAGAATTTAGGGAAGATCCCAAGCCCTTTTTTTGGGGTAAAACCTCATTATTTTAAGCAGCTTTTTGGGGCCAAACTTTGGGATTTTAGGACCACTGAGACCCCTTTTTTTGGGCTGAACCCCCTCGTGTTCTCAGCACCTCTTTTGGGCCCAAACCTCATGGGGTTTTTTTGGAGGGGGGATGATCCCAATCCCTGAGGGTTCAGGGAAGCTCCCAAGCCCCTTTTTTGGGGTCAAACCTCATTATTTTAAGCAGCTTTTGGGGGCTAAATTTTGGGATTTTAGGGCCACCCAGACCCCTTTTTTGGGCTGAACCCCCTCGTGTTCTCAGCACCTCTTTTGGGCCCAAACCTCACGGGGTTTTTTTTGGGAGGAGATGATCCCAATCCTTGAGGGTTCAGGGAAGCTCCCAAGCCCCTTTTTTGGGGTCAAACCCGGCAGTTTTGGGGTTTTTTCCTCACATTTCCCCATTTTCCCCCCCCTGCAGCTCCTGCTTCTCGGAGATGGCCCCGGTGTGCGCCGTGGTGGGGGGAGTGCTGGGCCAGGAGGTGGTCAAGGTAGGGGGGTTTTGGGGGGGTTTTGGGGGGTTCAGGGGCTCCCCCGAACCTGCTGTGACCCCAAATTTGCCCCCCCCGTGCCCCCCCCAGGCCCTGTCCCAGCGGGACCCCCCCCACAACAACTTCTTCTTCTTCGACGGCCTCAAAGGCAGCGGCGTCGTCGAGTGCCTGGGACCCCCCCTCTGAGGGACACCCCAAATTTGGGGGGGTTTAGGGGGGCCTGACCCCCCCTCTGAGACGGGAACCCCAAATTTGGGGGGGTCTGGGGGATCCTGACCCCCCCTCTGAGGGGTTTTGGGGGTCCTGACCCCCCCTCTGAGGGGTTTTGGGGGTCCTGACCCCCCCTCTGAGGGGTTTGGGGTGCCCTGACCCCCCTCTGAGGGGTTTTGGGGGTCCTGACCCCCCCTCTGAGATGGGAACCCCAAATTTGGGGGGGTCTGGGGTGCCCTGACCCCCCCTCTGAGGGACACCCCAAATTTGGGAGGGTTTGGGGTGCCCTGACCCCCCCTCTGAGGGGTCT